CCAAATTAAATCTACGTAATCATGTAAAAAAACATTGGAACATCATTGTTTCTGACAATTTGTGAAATTAATAACAGTGAATATGCTCAAAACATCAAAAAAAGTGATATTAAATGGTTTCTACGTTTGCATGAATAAATCTACTCTCGCTACTGATGTTTCAACATGAGTCACCTACTTTATTAAGAGTTACTCATTTCGGGTCAGGTCAAAGTTCAACACTAAAAACGCAAGATAAATCATTTTCTATATATATAAATATATATATGCTCAAATAAATTTACCAATTCAATTTGTTATTAATAACTGGTATATTTCAGAAATCTACACACACAAAATTATATAAACCTGTCTATCGCATCAACTTGGTTTTAAAACGAACAGGAACAATGGTTAGAATGGGCATTATCAATATTGCCAGCATTAACACATTCTTTTTGTTAGGTTCATGGCAACACGTGGGACATTTATACAATACAGTACAATGCTGACACCATGCAAAGAATACTGCAGAGAAAAAAATATTCACCGCGTTTAATTTTAGTGGATTTGGTGCAAGAATATTCACTTGTTTGTCAACAAAATAATAACATTTTTTTTCTCATGAACTATGCATAATAAAACATAATAAAACCCAATATTTATGTATTCCATCTTTTTATAGATTTTGTATGAAGTATAAATACGGTATAAAATCCACATTTGTAGTAAATAGGACTCTGGAATGAATTAACATTCATCATTCACAGCCTGAAACTAAACACTTTTGTTCGCGTTTATTTCAAAATATGTTACACAGGAGAAAACTACAATGGATGAGGGTTTGTGAAATGGTACATTTGACAGAGACAGATGCGTGCAGTTTCATTTAATTTACAATCATATCCAGAGACGCACGTGGTGAATCATACTAGGTAATTATTATCATCTCAATTATTAATATATAGTTAGGTTTCAGAAACACTACAACGGTTCAGATAAACATGATATCCAAATTCTATCTTTTTGGGAAAATCATTATTTGAGGATTTGCGAAAAACCAGAATTTTACTAATTTATTGATAGGAAACAAGTACTATAAAACCGCGGTTTCTATTAAAATGGTACAATGCAACAGAGGGGATGCAGCTTCTATTAGACTATCTACACATATGAGAAATAATGAAATTTTGGTTCTCATTAAAAAAAATAATGGGTGCGACTTCTATTTGGAATGCTGCTTCTAATACAGATTTTATGGTAGTTACAGACATTCGTGCATTTCAAGTAACAATATTTCATCATGAACAGTGATGATTTGGATTCAAAGCATCGTGAATTTGCATAAATTATGAAATGTTAATATTCAATTTTTCCTATTTTGATGCATAGCAATATCACTAATTTTGACAGAAACATAAATCTGATTTGTAATTTTATATTAACGTATTATGACAAGAAAATGGCCTAGAAGCTAAAAATATCTCTTGGGAACTCAACGCAAACAGTTAGGGAAGCTGAACCATCTTCAAAATGGTAGGAACTTGTAAATTCATAATTAACTCTTCCGGGTTTTAATTTGGACCAGTGATAGAATGAAATGATCACTCATTACTTAGAAAATAAGGTCTTATACTGAACATTAAAAACCTTGTTTTAACCTTTGCAATTTATGGGGGCACTGATGCTAATAATGAAGCAAAATTTAGTACAAGCTAGCACAAAATTGAAGACACATTGGCATGGCAACACTGAGAAAGTAAAATATTTAGCCATCACTAAAACGATAAAGATGTCCAGACTTGCGTAGCCGCATAATTGACAAATTTAGTTGTAAAGTTCAACAGATATTAAACAGCTGGCTGGGGTTGTCTTCGTCGAGTTACCTGCAGTAAAAACATGTACTTGTGTAAAAAAAAAAAAAAAAATCGATAATTTTTTCTTTCTTTCCTAATTTTTTTTTTTTTTTCTTGTGATGCATTTGAGAAAGTGCAGGCAATAGTCTTGAATTCACTAGTCTTTGCCATTAAGACAACGTGCTCCTAACCCCCCCCCCCCCTCCCTCGACCCTTGAACATTACAATTTTGTGGTGCAAAACAATTTTCTATAATTTTATTAATTTTGACCAAAATCACTGAATTTCAAAGTATGCAGGTGTAGCAGGAAATGTAAACCCGATTCTGTGCATTCAGTGGTCTTGGTGAAATTTATGCTGTCCAATAAACATTCAGCTATGGAATCCAGTGAATGAGCTCCCTGATACAAACTCCACTAAGGACTTTGCTCACGAGCTCAAAAAACTAACCAGTCCCGAAAATATTCACTGTTTTGTCTTACAACCACAAGTATAGACTTTACCTACATAGATACGATCAGACTTGGAATTCAGGCTGTTTAGAAAAGTGGGATCCCCCATATTGATGGCAAGAAAGTCATTCTGGGAGCAATTATGTGCTTAAAACAGATGACTACAAGCATATCTAAACAACGACAAGGACAGCTCACTTTCCATTCATGTCAACCTTTTTAGATAAGCATCTAAATCTTGATTACTTTCACAGATTGATCATTTCATCATGATCATAGTTATGCCAAAGATAGGGATTCAAAATGGCCACTTGGAAGGAACTCATAATGCCAAAGAT